GAAAACCAACCACGGGTTAAAAATGTCAAAATTATTCATTAAGTTATTCCGTCTTCTTAGCCTGATGCGTCTGGTGGCTTAACTTGCATAAGGCCTGGAGATATGAATTGAAATAGAATAATAATAATAATAATAATAATAATAATAATACGTGCATTTAATAAGGCGTCTTTCATGTCCGGAGGATGTCTCACATACTCTGTACTCCTCCTCCCTCCTCCTTCCCCGCACCCATCCGTTCTTTCTCTGCTATAATCGCAACAATTAAAGCACAGAAAGAGGCCATTTGGCCAATTGTGCCTCCGCCAGCTCTTGGCCTGTTTACACCCTCCCACCACGAAAGGCCCTGGAGAAGCTATGAATCCCGGTTGTCTCCGAAGGGGAAAGACAGCGAGAAATAGCCCCATCGCATCACAGAGTTTTAACGTGTTCCCAACCACGTTCCGGCCGCCTGTCATTCATTCCTTCAGCTCGTCGGCTGCAAGAGTGAATGTAAATCAAAGTGACAGCCCAACCCCCCCCCCCCCACAACACCCCTTCTCCCCCCTCCACCAAAGAAAATGACTCAGGCTCGGATGAGTCACGAGCTGCCAGCAATTGTGTTCGCGTGGGGGTTCTCTCAGTGACGTCACCCAACAATCCTGCCCCCCTCCCCACGCACACACACACACACACACACACAATCGCGCACAGATAAAAGTAATCATTAGCTGTCTGTGTGGATGTTAATATGTACAAATTGGCTGATGCATTTTGCCCATAAAATTCCCGGACAATAAAATCCCATGAAGCATTTTGGGACATCTTGCCTAATTTTATAAGGCGCTGTATCAAATGCAAGCATTATTATTAGGATTATTATGATTATTAATTCACCAAGATCGCGTATTCTAGTAAGATGTCCCAGAAAAAGAACTCACGCCTGATAGGCCTTAGTCTTGTCTTTCGGACGAAAGAAACTGAGTAATGAAGAAAGGACAAGGAGAGAGGAAAAACTAGCAATTAATCTGTTGAGTAAGCAAACAGAGTAATCTCTTGCTAGCTCAGCTGAGGGGGAAGAGAGGGGGAGCGGGTCATTACATTTGCAGTAATCTCAATGTTATTCTGGGACGGCCAGCAATAATCTGAGAAAATACATATGCTTTTCCGAGCTGCCTGCCCAAGCTGACGAGGTTTAAAATTGATGACCAGAAGCAAAATGTGTGCATCCAGCATTCTTCCTGACATCCTCACTGCTTCTTGTTAACAGCAGAACAGCTCGCAGGTGAATCCCATTTACACACTGATGACTGAGCATCTCTGAAGCTTTAAGCTTCTCCCTGGTCGCTGAATGTAATTCAAACCTCCCTTCCTCCCAAAATAATTCAGTGCTGGATTGAGGGGGTGTGAGCGCTGTATTGACGGAGGTGACATCCTTCAGGTCAGACGTTAAACCAAGGTCCTGTTTGTGTTGAAGAGGTACTGTTGGAAAAGAGAAGGGAGTTTCTTTCCCAGGGTACTAGCCAACAATCCCCACAGATCACTCCATTAGCCAAAGTTTGCAGGACTTTGCCGTGCGCAAATTGACTGCCAGTTTGCCTGCCAACAATAATGAACAGTCACAACAACAACAACAACAAGATTCCATTTATAAAGCGCCTTTCACGTCAGGAGGACGTCCCAAGACGCTGCACAGTTGGGTCAGGACCCGAGCAGGGGGAAATGGTCAGGGTGAGGGGAGTTGTTGCCTCAACAACAACAACTTGGATTTATATAGCGCCCTTCATGCTGGACGGCGTCTCAGAACGCTTCACAGTAACGGATCCCGGGACCGAGCCAGGGGGAGGGGGAGGGGGAAAGGTGACCAAAGGCGCGGTCGAAAAGAAAGGTCTTCAGCAGAGACCTGAACATAGGAAGGGAGGGAGTGAGGCGAAGGGAGTGAGGAAGGCAGTTTCAGAACCTCGGGGCATAGTGGCTGAAGGCACAGCCGCCGAGGATGGAGCGGAGGACTCGGGAGACAAGGAGGAAGCCAGACCCGGAGGAACGAAGGCAACGGGTGCTGTTTTGAGGAGAGAGGAGGTCAGAGCGGTCGGGGGGTGCAGAGGAGTGCACTACACTTTACAGTAAAATCCTGTGAAGTGCTTTGAGATGTTTTGATGTTCTAGGCACTGTATTGAAGATGAGTTAAAATATGTTTAAATTCATTCGGAGACGCTGAAACTCTGGAACTCTCTCCCTCAATCCCTCCTCCGCCTTGTTCCCTCCCTCCCCACCTTCAAATCCCATCTAAAGACCTTTTTGATCATGCTTACGGTCACCTCCCTTTCCCCTTGGCTCATTGTCAGTCTCCGCTGCTGTGAAGCGCTCCAGGACAGTACCCCATGTGAAGGGCACTATATAAATGCTTGTTGCTGTTGTCTGATGGTCAGGGATGGTTTGATTGATGGGCGAGATGGTGAGGTGACATATCTCTGTGATGGTGAGCGGGTGGTGATAAGGAAACATCGTCTTCGTACTGCGATCGTGTCTTCCGCTTTTTGCTCGGAGAACGTTCCGAGGTGTGGGTTGCTATATTTGTCTGGTGTGCTCGTGCCTTCGGTCACCTTCCCTCCTCCACCACCCCCCATCCCTTGCCCTCCACCCTCCACTCTTCTCTGATCCTAACCCCCAGCCTCGGGTGCAAACCTCTCGTTGTCTGGCACCTTGGGACATCCTCCTGACGTGAAATACAATTTGTCGTTGTTTGTTTTTGTTGTTTTCTGAAATACCCTTTTTATTTTTGTATAGATTATACAAGCTATTGATTTGGGGCGAGGAGGTGGGGGTAGGAAGGGGTCTGTGGTTTTCTGTTCATTCACCCTGATCCATTAACAATAAATGAAGGCAAGACCGGCTTGTTGTTTGATTGCGAAAGCTCACAGACCACATGTGATGGGGATAGTGAGGTCTCACAAGCTGAGGCCATGTGAAACGTTGTAAGTTACTCATCATGACATAGCTCCAGGCTTCCTCATTTGTTAAGAGAACAGCGGGTCAATGTCTCCAGCTGCCCATTAACAAGGTTTACCCACCGCCGGTCAAACAGCACAAAAAACCGAACCGACACAACAGGCAAAGTGAAGTCAGATTGACAGGAGCTGGGGAGTTGTGATAGACTGCGTTAAGCACTGGACCATCCAAAGCTGAGTGTGTCTGAGCTGTGCTCACCCATTGCAGAGGAATAGTAGCGTTCCTTCAGCCGTGGGTGAAGGGAGACCTGAGGTGGATCTTATAAGAGAGTTGGTCATATATAAGAGAGAGGGGTCTGTGATATTCACTGGTCTCTCATTAGGAGCTTCCTTTGACTGTGACGCACTCAACTGTACCTGTGACAATGTGAGTCACACAGTGCTGTGGGGGGGGGAGTGCTGTATTGTCGAAGGTGATGTTCTTGCCAATGTTAAACCAGCTCCTGCCTGTGCCTGTTCAGGTGGAGGTTTAAGATCTCACCTCTCTGTGGGCAGAGAGAAGGCACTTTCCCCCGGTTGCACCCAGTTAAACTCAGCCATCGACTGCTTTTTGTGAGGACATTGCTGTGCACAGACTGACTGCAGTGTTTCGCTTTACAAAACGCAATCACTACAATTTACAGCGAATCCTGTGAAACGCTTGGGATATATCCTTCTGATGTGAAAAGCGCTGTATCAAGCACAAGGATTATTCTTCATTGAGGAATCTAAAAGAGCAGCTCTTACCACTGAGAGCACAGTGGTGTGTGTGTGCATATGGTGTGTGGGTGCATGTGTGTGTGTGTGAACAATCTGGTGACTGGGAGGGTGAAAAAGAATTTGATGGAGAATGTGAGTGAGATGAAGAGCAGCAATCCCTGGCTTCCACTTTCAGCACTATTGTAATTACATTTTATGATTTATTTGAGCTGGCGTCTCGGAATTAGCATTCAGCATGGCAGCATCCAATAGCGTCTTGCTATTTCCCTGGGGGTAGGGGGGGGTGGGGGTAAGAGATGGGGTGGAATGACAGATTAAAAGCAAACCGTGCAGTGAGTCAAAAAGGACGAGACAGTGAGTCTCCAAAATACCAAATGACTGAGGGTGAAGCTGTTTTTGCCGAAATGGACATTGAAATATCCAAGAATTAATAGTTTTATTTATACTGTATTACATTTCAGTCTATAGAATTGGTCACTGTAGCAGACGACAGACAGCGGAGTTAAAACACTCCTTTTGTTTCTTAAACATGTCATTAAAACTCTCAGTAAATTTTATATATTTTTTTCAAATTTCTTCCAAGTGTGACAGTTATGCAGTTCAGAGTCAATGACAGACTTTGAGTCAAGTGACAACCATTCACATATTCAATATATATAATATATGAATAAATAATAACTCAAACATTGTCTTTTTGCAGAGAGGAAACTGACCTTTACATTAAGAGCGAGGGGTCCTGGCATCAAATGTTAATGTGAATCAGACAGTGACAGGGGGCACGCATTTAAAGCACCATTCCCCCCTCTTTCCCACCCACTGCGTTTAAAAGGAGAACTCTGTTCCCAGTCCCCATTGCATCTGAGCTCACAGTCCAGGCTGACACTCCAGTGCAGTCCTGGAGGGTGTGGGGGGTGATGGGGGGAGGAGGGAGGAAAGCATTGCATTGCCTGAGGTGCTGCCTTTGGAAAGAGGAGGAGGAGAGGTCCTGTTAGAAGGACACCCACTGGAAAAGAGAAGGGAGTTTCTCTTTCCGGGTGTCCAGACCGACAATCCTCCGGATAAATCACTCACTCACTTTACGACTATTTGTGGAATGTCGTTGTGCACAAATTGGCTGCTACGTTCACCTGCAAAATACGCAGTCACTACAGTTTACAGTAAAATCCTGTAAAGCGCTTTGAGATGTCTCGACGATGCAAGATATAACAAATGCAAGGAATATTAGTATTATTAATAGTTGATCATTCATTTTGTGGCGCTTTGCGGGATCCGTCTGTGTGCAAGAATAGCTGCTGCAGCTGTCTACGGACATACAGTCACAACACTTGGCATCGATCGGAGGGTCTGGATGTGGTAAGGCGGTGACGGTGGCAGGGGTTAGGGGAGGGTAAAAGGACACCACAATCTTCCTTAATATCTCTGAAGGTAACTGGTTCATAAGCAATAAAGTGATCATATCTTACCAAATACAGTACTGAGAAGGTACAGAAGAGAGGAAATAGATATATGGCTGTATTCTTGATGTACATCAATGGGAGGCTCCTTGCTACACACACATACACACAAACACACATACACACACACACACACACACAAGGTGTTTGTCCTCACACAAAGCTTGGCTGAGGCGATTGGCTGTCTGTATTCTGTCCTGATAGAAGCCTGGTGATGGTCACCTTGGTGTTTCTGGCCAGGGGGCTTAGGTGGGTCCCGATGCTGTACGAGTTGCTGGAGATGCTGGTCGCTTTGCAGATGTGGAGCTTGGAAGCACCGTCACCCCTCACCACAGATGTGGACCTTCCCTGCCCCTCTCCCACCCCCATCTCCTCTGCCGCCTCCTCCCCCACCACATCCTCAGGGATGGAGCTGAGGCGAGGGGTGCTCTTGCTACGATAGGGGCAATGTCTGTTGAGGAGCTTCCTGAGGGGAACCAGAGGGACAATGGCATCTCCCAGGAGCTGCTGTTGCCGATGCCTGTCATCATCCTGTCTCTTCAGCCTCTTGAACTCATTGAAAGCTGAGGTGGAGGTCTGGCCGAGGAGCGAGGCGATGGCCTTGGCTTTCTCGGGTCTGGACACCAGCGCAGCGTGACACCTGAGTACTACTGCCTTGTTCCTCACCTGGTGCCTGTAGACCCAGGCCAGTATCCGGGGGTGCCTGCTGTCAGCCCCACAGTAGGTTATCCTAGACAAAAGGTACATGTGGCCATTCTTCTTGGACCTCTCCTCCAATTGGGACATCCTGATGCCGTGAGGTCCTACGGTCAATCGCATCTTGTTGGAGGAGCCTCCACACTCGCTCCTCGCCCAGATCTTTCCGACCACCTCATCCGTGCAGCCGTCCCCCTTGGCGCTGAGCGTCACAGCGCTGCCCAGGTACCAGACCGTGTAGGTGGGGTCCTCCCTGGTCAGCTGTACCTTCTGCCGCTTGGTTCTGAACATGCCTCCGATGCGGTGGAAGGAACATTCCGGCAGGAGGTGAGGGCAGCCTCGCACCAAGGACGAGATGAGCGAACTGTACGTTAGCCCAGCCACCAGGCTCTTCCCTTCCCATTTGCTCTCTTTTTCCACCAACACAAATTTGCTCCTTCTCCAAGGCAACATTTTTTTTTACCTTTGCAGAAAAGGAAGGGGGGAATGTGGGGAAATAGAGAGAGGAGAGAGCGAGACAGAGGGAGGATGGATATGGTTCTGCTTTGCGTTTGATGTGATGCAGTGGTTTCTCCTGGATTACTCAGTCTAAGGGTAAGTACTGTACAGCTCTCTCTCTCTCTCACGCACACACGCACACTGCAAAGGACAGACAGAAATTAACTGCTTCCCCACCTAACTCACAAGCAGCCAATCTGCTCAGAATGACACCTACCGGTGGGGAAAAAAGCAGCGACTTAATTTTTGGTTCAATTGTAAGCGAGATAGAAAATAAGTGAGAGAGAGAGAGAGGCTTGAGCTGTGCGTTACTTGTCCATTACATTGAGATATAATATTGAGATATGAGAAATTCAGAAAAAATTTAGCCGCCACATGCATGAAACCCATCACCATGCTTAACGGTATGTTACACCTAACATACACTCTGGGGTCCCCCAAGCCGTGGCTCTCACCAGCTTGCACCTAATAACTCCTTCACCCCTTCTCCAAGGCAACATTTTCCTTTTGCCTTTGCAAAAGCGTGAGAGAAAAGGGAGGGAGGAGGAGAGAGGAGGAGGATAGAGAATTGTTGTTTGATGTGATGAGGACATTGCTGTGCGCAATTGACTACCGCGTTTCACCCACAAAATAGTCATTCCACTTTATAGTATATTTTCTGAAGTGCTTCAAGACATCTCGAAGGCGCGATAAGGTGCTATATCAACCGCAAGAATTATTATTATTATTAATAATCACCTAATTCCAGAAAGCATTGTTATTAATTATCAGTGGTAGTAGCATTATTAATGCTTTCTGGAATTAGCTGATTAACAACAATAATAATCGTCACATTGGATACAGGGCTTTTCACGTCTTCTCGCCGTCTCAAAAAAGCGCTGTGCGGAATGGACTGTAAAGCGAATTGACGGTGTGTTTGTGGGCAGCCAATTGCGCAACAGCAGCGGAGTCCTGTAGCTCAGTGGTTAGAGCACTCGCTTTGCAAGTGAGACCTGAGTTCAATTCCAGGCAGAGGGCGAAACCTTGGGCAAGTTTCCTTACTCCACACAGAGCCTAATAATATTCCCTCCAAAACAATAAACAATAATAAATTGATCATTTTTCAATCTACGACTGTTTGTGGGACATTGCTGTGCGCCATTGGCTGCCGCGTTCGCCCACAAATATACAGTCAATTCACTTTACAGTGTGTTCTGTGAAGCGCTTTGGGACGTCCTCTCCCGACGTGAAAAGCGCTGTATCAAATGCAAGGATTATTATTATTATTATTATGTCTGTCCCCCAAATAGTTAATTAAATAATAATTAGTTAATTAATAATAATTGGGTAAGCAGGAATGTGTCCCTCCGGGGCGGAGGGGGGGGAGAGAGAGAGAGAGGGAGAGCCCTTCCCCTCTGACAGTCCACCTCTGGGACCCCCATGTGTTGGTGAGAGCTGTGGTTTGGATACTCTTCAGCCCAGTGATGGGTCTGCGCATGTGTCAGAGGCCAGCGGCCAGTGCGCATGCGCTCCTCCCAGGCGCTCCCCGATGCGCCTGCGCCGCCCCCCCTCTCCCCCCGCCCCCTTCACGGCGCTTCTATATAAGGAGGGGAAGGGGGCGGGGCCGCACAGGCAGCTCCAAGATGGCGGCGGCGAAGCGCGCGCTGGTGATTTTGGCCAAAGGCGCCGAGGAGATGGAGACGGTGATACCCGTCGACCTCATGCGCAGGGCCGGGGTGAGGCGCCGTCGAGAGCGGGACACGAACACGCGCCACACGCGCGCACACACACACACACACACACAGGCTCTCCGTTGCCTTCAGGGAGGCCATGGCGGCGGCGGCGGCGGCGGGGGGGAGGAGCCCGGGTGATTGACAGCGCCATCATCCAATCAGCGTCCAGACCGGAGGGGGGGTGTGGCCCGGCGCTGAGCAGCCAATGGGCGCCAGGTGTGGGCGGGGCGGGGACACACTGACCTGGAGTGACCTTTCAGACTGGGGCCAAAGTTGTGCCCAGTTCTTTCTTGGCTTCATTCTTAATTTTTCAGCCACTTCTATATATATATATTGTGTGTTTTCAGCCAGTTTTGAGAGCGGCAAGAAAACTGGCGGTTGCAAATTAAGGCTGAGCTTCGCAACGTTCCACAAACTCTCTACCCTATCGTATGTGCCGAAGACGAATGGGCTTCTTGTAAATTCTTAGCGTGTCCTCCCAACGTGAAAGGAGCTCTGCAAATGTAATTTGTTGCTGTTGTTGTTGTTGTTGAGACAGATTTGCGGGGTGAGGCTCGGACTTCTCTACGTTCGCTGTGTGCTCAGTCTTCACTTTGCTAACTTGGAATACTCTTTTCCCTATATTTACGGTTGTGTCGTTCGCGACCGAAACTTTGCGTCACCCCACGTGTAGAGGTTTGTTTTATGTGTGGAAAGCCGTGGAGGAGAAAAGCTGGGCACGTTTAATATTTTAAATAAAATCGCCAAACTGCTTGAAGGAGGGTGGGCTCATTCGGAATCTGCTCCCACAGCAGATATGAATAGGTCAAAGTTTGTTAAGGTTTAAAAATATTTTTTCCCTGCAACAGTATTGGTTACTGAATGTTGGCTGCTCGCCATGTAATACATTTAGAGTAGGTTGTGGTGTATTTAGAAGTACTTAATTATATTGAGTGCAAGTGTATAATTGTACAGTATTTAGACGTCCAGATTGGTGTGAGCGTCATCATTTTCATGGCAGCTAATGATCTGCCGTTATTTGGTGCGCAATCTTCCGTAACATGGACGGATGGAGTGAGGAGGCGAGTGAGGAAGTGAGGAGGCGAGCTTGTTTCAGCTCCTCCATAGTCTCATATCACTGTTTGTAACAGGGTGGTAACTGGACTTGGTGGACATCATGTACAGTATTAATCAGCAAGAGAATGTACAGCTGATCCATCCCAGGTCTGAAAGAATATCCTGAGGTTGTTCGGTGCTTTTGGTAGACAGCGTCTTGTAAACATTGTGTGAATCTGCCCAATTGCTCCCTGGCATTGTGCTGAGGCTTCGTGGTGCAATGCTACCATGAGTGGATAGTTCTTATTAGAGGAATGTGTTCACATTCCCATCCTTCCCCCTTTTCAGATCACCGTTACGGTGGCCGGGCTATCGGGGAAAGAGCCAGTGACCTGCAGCCGTGACGTGGTGATCGTCCCTGATTCCAGCCTTGAAGATGCTGTTAAAAAGGTGTGTAGTGTCCCTGTGCCATATGAGACATGGCTGCATTGACCTTCGAAGATGGAAGCCGGGAGTTCTGTACTTTATTCGGGAGCAATTATCAGAATTGGAAAAAATAACCGCAATGTTCTGTGTTTGTTTGCAGGGCCCGTATGATGTGGTTGTGCTCCCTGGAGGAAACCTTGGTGCCCAGAATTTATCTGAGGTCAGGTCAAATGGGAATAATTTGCCTTTTACATGAAAACCCAGTTAGAGCCATTGTACCTGCTTTCTGAATGTGACCCTCTTTCTGTGTGTTGCAATGTAGGACGTGTGGAGTTTGAATCCTAAATATTCCAGCTCAGAGGACGGCCATTTGGCCCCTCGTGTCTGCTTCCTGCTGGAACCATCCCTCTACTCCCATCTCCCTGGTCTTTATTTCATTTTCTTTTTTTCGTTTTAATGAATTCCCGTCAAGGTGATTCTCTGTTTCAGAAGTCACTTGTGATGCAATGCCACATTCTGATGACCGTTTTTTATGCAATAAAATTCTTCGAAGTTTCCCCCTTTAGATGGTTCTAGAAATAATCTGGAGAAATGCCCCATTGTTGGTGATTCACCCACCTAATGAAATAATAAACGCTGGGCAAGTTTCCTTACTCCACACGCTTCTGTAAGTAGGAACCCAGTTGTTAGTCGATTGGCAGATCACTTTTCCGGGGATAATAATCCCTCAAAAAAACCAATAATAATTTGTCACTCAATCCACGCCGCATTTCATCCATAGATATACAGTCAAGTCACTTCACAGTATATTCTGTGAAGCGCTTTAGACGTCTGGAAGACGTGATAAGGCTATATCAAATCTAAGTATTATTATAATCTGTTGCTATTAGCCACTCGCATCTTTTCATCGCTTTGATCATAGTTGCTCATACTCCAGTGAATACAGTCCCAGTTTTTGGAAGTTTTTCATAGTAACAAAATTAATAATAATAATCCTTGCATTTGATACAAAGCGTTATCACGTCATTGAGACGGCTCCAAAGCATTTCACCGAATATACTCTGAAGAATTATCCAGTAAATTATACCATGTTTCTAAGGTATGTAATCATTTGTGGGGTTCTGGTGCCATCTGGCGGTCTATTACAGAAAATAAACTGCTGGAATCCAGTTTGTGCTCCAGTTGTGCTGTGGTGGTGTTCCCCGTGGGTTTGCAGTCACTAGGGGAAGGGAGTGCGGCAGAGCAAGGATTGACGCAAAGTTCTTTGTAATGACGTCTGTACCTTGTGACTGGAGAATTGGCTTCACGTACCCGCAAAGTGTTGTCTTCCCCCCCCCCCCCCCCCCCACTTCCCATGTTCTTTGTGTTTGCTTTGACTTAATTCCTCCTTATTCAAATTCACTTTGAAAATCCTAATGTGTTTTACTCGACTCATTGTTTATGGGGTGTTGCTGAATGGAGCAGGTTAGCTTTTTCTCCCCCACATTCAAGCCATGACCCGCTCTGCCTTCCCTCATCTCTGTAACATTGTCCGACTCCGCCACTACCTCACCCCTCAGGCCGCTGAAACTCTTGTTCATGCCTTCGTCACCTCCAGGCTCAACTATGCAAACGCCCTACTTGTCAGCCTTCCCGACTCCTCCCTCCACAGGCTGTAGATAATCCAGAACTCTGCAGCCCGTGTCCTCTCCCGCACCAAACTCTGTGACCCCATCTCCCCCACTCTCGCTCGACTCCATTGACTCCCTATCCTTCAGAGGATCCCATTCAAGATCCTGGACCTCACATACAAAGCCCTCCATGGCATCACCCCACCCTACCTCTGCGACCTCCTAACCCCCTACCAACCTGTCCGCTTCCTCCGCTCAGCTGGCTCTGGCCTGCTCCACGTCCCACGTCCCCCGACCCACCAGCCATCTCACCCCCAACCTCTGGAATTCCAACCCCCACTCCGCCTCGTCCCCCTCCTTAGTCTCTTTCAAGTCCCGCCTCAAGACCCTCCTCTTCAACCATGCCATCGGCCACCCCCTTTCCACTCTCCTCCCTTTCCCTCGTGACCCCAGCTCAGGTCTGAAATGCTGTACTCTGTCCAGTGCTTTGGGACGTCCTCCCGACGTGAAAAGCGCTATATAAATGAAATCTTGTTGTTGTAGTTCATCGTATTCTCTGAAACGTCTCGAGACGTTTCTTTCACATGACCAATGTTCTATAAGTAATTTGCAACTCACATCTGTATTATCAAATTAAATAACTTGAGGAATGCTGTGAAAGGTGCACAAAGTAAGATGAGGATCATGATTGAGATTTCCTTTCTGTTTTTCAGTCTCCCGCTGTTAAGGAAGTGTTGAAAGACCAGGAGAGCAGAAAGGGTCTGGTCGCCGCTGTCTGTGCAGGTACATTTCAGAAACCACTGACTTTTAATTTCAATTATTGCTGATGCTTTATTACGTACAGTCTTATAATTTTGAACGTGTTTCCGATGTGAGCATGTTCTGTTCTGTATGGTGTCTTGTTCCACACCATCATGATATAGTGTTTAGTGATGCTGAAGTCTGCATTGCCGTCGACTGAATGCCAGGCAGTAACTGTATGAGAAAATACAATGGAGCAAACCTCACAATAGCCTGAGTGCCACTTGCATATCTGCTGATTGTAATCTTGATGTACACTTGCTCTGTTTCCTGAATAGAATGCTTTCTTCCTCTGAAAAGTTAACTGGTTATAAAATGCAGCCTGTGTTTTTTTTTTCTCACTCCTTCGAGAGTGAGAACCAAGCAAGAGGGTCAGTGAGCTGGCACACACCAACGTGGTCACTGAGGCGTTCGATTTGACCTTGGCTGTGCTGGCACACAAACTCAGGGTTTCGCAGATTGTGAAACCACCCTACACAACAGCTGTGGGAGGAGACAGAATGTGTGTGAGTGACTGGGGCTTGGGCTGAACCACTTCTCTTGTCCACCTGTTCTGAAGCCTTCACTTGTGTAAGCTCATATTTCAGTTTTATATGTTGTGTTTGGAGCAGTGTAGTTGGGATTGCTGCCATGTAGGATATGGAAGACAAGTTGAAGTATAACTTGCTCATTTAGCGATCAGTTCTAGTAGCTACGTCATTTTTATAGTCGCTGTTGATCCGTTTTGGGGGTGTTCCGATGCAGGACGGTAAATAATAATAATACTCTGTTTACTGCTAGGTAAACAGGGGTGTGGAGCAAGGAAATTTGCCCAATGTTTCGCCCTGCCCGGGAATCAAAACCAGGTCTTCTCTCTTGCAAAGCAAGTGCTCTAACAGCTAGGCTACAGAACTCCACCTTAACAGACTCCATCATGCGTCACTTGTTTACCATGGGAAATTGCAAGTGTCTGTAATTATGTTATTAACCAATGTAAAGGATCCCAGATTCATTTGTCTCCTCCGGTTCATTGGCAGGACCCACAGCGTTGTTGGCTCACGGGATAGCCTACGGGAGCAAAATTACATCCCACCCCTTGATGAAGGATAAGGTGATGAATGGAGGTAAGGGATGGGGTATGGAGTCTGCTGTCTCCGAGTCTTTTGCTGCTGATGTCTGCAGTGTTTGAGCAGTATGTGCGCCCCTCAGGCTCTCTGGGCTGGGAAAGCGCCAGTGTCAAGATTTACTGAAGTGGAATCAGTGTTGCACTTTGTGGAAGCCTTGGATCATTTTGTTTGGCGAATACGATTTTCTTCCTGTGGGTAATGGTTGTTAGTTTATTATAATAATATTAATAATCCTTAAAATTAATATAGTGCATTATCATGTCGATTCAAAGCGCTTGACAGAATATTCTGCAAAGTGAATTAGCTCTAGTTTGTGGGTGAAATGCAGCAGCCAGTTGCGTACAACTGTGTCCCACAAACAGTCATGGATTGAGTGACCAAATTATTCTTTTTTTATATATATATATAAGAAATGTTTAGTGTAAATCCATGTACAAATCTGTCACATGGTTTTTATTATCAAATTAATTTCACATCAGCTCCAGCATGTGCGTAAATGTCACATAGCTTGAGGTTTAACAAAGCTGCATCCATTCCATCAAGCCATGTTGAGTCTATTTTGCAACAAGCTGTGGACAGACTTGACTACTGTTGTCTGAAATTCCACACAGGTTTAGCCAAGGAATCATTTTGATTTAAAATGTAACATTGGCAGGATTGTAGAAAATTCTACAATTCAGCGTGGATTTGGAAGCCATTTTTTCACAGTTGCTAAAAATAAATCGGCTTCTAGATCAAGACTATTTAAGAATTTTCTACAATTCTGTGTGATTTAAGAGTAAATTTTAAGTCATGAAGTGCTGCCAGAAGCAAAGACTTGGTAGAATTTTGGGCCAGTAACAAATGGATTTGAGATATTACTGTCATGACTGAATTCCTGGATTTTCTTTTGCTCTCTGACGATGTTTTCATCTCTTCCCATTTCCAGCTCACTTCACCTATTCGGAAGCTCGAGTGGAGAAGGATAAGAATATCATCACCAGTCGAGGTCCAGGGACCAGCTTTGAGTTTGGCCTGGCAATTATTGAAGCACTGATGGGGAAAGAGGTGGTTGACAAAGTCAAGGGGCCACTGGTCCTCTAGAGCGGTCTGAAGAGAGGACCCGAGGGAACGAACATCCCATGTGAATCCATTTATTAGCCTTCCCGCACAGCTAGTCTGTAATTGCACATTAACAGCTTCTGAGAAACGTGACTGATGGCTTTAATCCTGGAGTTCCCAATGAAAAGAGACGGGTTCTTACATGGCTAAAGTCCCCCCCAAGTGTGATCTCCTCAAACGGTAGCATGCCTTATAAGCAGCCACTAAACCCATTGTACTCGGAAGGACTCTGGAGGTTACTGATGTGGCTGCTGCATATTCCTGTAGTGTGGCTATTGAAGCCATTGCCCTCTTGTTGTTGTGCAATTCCAGTGAGTGAGATCTGTGGAATGATGTCATTTTTTCTCCCTGTCCATGATGTAAACCCGACTCTCTATGAATCCTTAATTTGTGTTGAATTCAGGGTGAGTGTTAAACCTACGTGGAATCTGTTACTTCGATTTGAACCCACATCATTCAGAAGTTGTCTTTTGAGGGATGGAATGTGGCTATAACTGACTGAAATGTTACTGAGGATCTGTTGGCTGTTGGAACATGGTGTAGATTTCCACCTCGTCCCAATAATTGTTGCTGTAGTAGTTTCTATTTGCCTTCAATAAATCATCAGTACTTATGGTTGGTGTTTGGGTAGTTTTTTTGTTTGTTTCATTCTTTCCTACCCTCCCTTCCCCTCAATCAATCCCCATTCTTGCTTCCCATTTACTGCTTGTTTTACCAGCTCAGCAGCTCGTGTGGAAAACGATGCGGGCATTATCACCTGCAGAGATCCAGGGAGCAGCTTTGAGTTTGGCCTCGGCTCTGCAAATAGATTTTTCTAGTACATCTTTGAGAAGTGATTTTTGCTGCATTTTGAGGCTTCGATGGCAGACTTAATGTGGTGCTGGGTGAACTGAGGTGAAGGTTTGATCATGAGATCCGAGAGTCGTGTTTTATCACATGATTGGGACTGTTGAGCAGGACCGTTAATCCCAGCAGATGACGACAATGTTGCCAATCTGCCATTGCAGCACAGACATCAATGCCCAATGGCTCGCTTCTAATGTGCCCGGACTGTTATGCAATTGCAGGATATAATCCAATATCTCTCCAATTAAACAAAAAAAAGGGACAGAATGGCAGTACTAAATCCTAGACTCTCAAAAAAACAAAACAAATGAGGATTATCTAAACTGTTAATCCCTTTTTCTCTCTGTATGTTAGAGGCAGTCCTGCGACTGACCTCTTTCTCTGGCGGCATCGATCACGGAGCAGCGGAAAACGACGGTGGCCACTGTCCCCTTGTGTTATTTGCGGACGCGGGTGGGAAGAGGAGAGAGCCGTATGCCTCGGATGAATCCTGTAGCTCAGTGGTTAGAGCACTCACTTTGCAAGCGAGAGACCTGAGTTCAATTCCAGGCAGAGGACGAAACCTCGGGCAAGTTTCCTTACTCCACACAGAGCCTAATAATAATCCCTCCAAAACAATGATAAATTGGTCATTTTCAATCCACGACTGTTTGTGGGACATTGCTGTGCGCAATTGGCTGCCGCGTTCGCCCACAAATATACAGTCAATTCACTTTACAGTGTGTTCCGTGAAGCGGTTTGGGACGTCCTCCCGACGTGAAAAGCGCTATATCAAATGCAAGGATTATTATTATTATTATAATCGACTGTTCTCGCAACATTTAAGATCTCGCATCCCTATGACTGGCCAGCGATAGCCCAGATAGCTTGGCCGTCCGCCTCGTGGCTGTTTGGGGGGGGCATTGCTGTGCGCAAATTGGACGCCGGGTTCCCTAAACTTCATCTTTGGTAATCTCTCGGCAGTGCTTTGAGATGTTTTGACGCCCTAAGGAGCTCAGCGTAACATAAATCCTTTCTTGTTCCTGTGATGGTCGGAGAGTTGGCCTCTCTGAGGATGGGTGGGAGAGCCTGGGATGGGATGGGATGGGATGGGGAGAGGAATTGGGAACAGGACAGGTCTCCTTGTGCAACCACCATGTTGGGCAGTCCAGAGCCTCCCTCCAATCAGCCCATCCTCTGCCGCGCAACCAAGCTTAGGCGGCGCGGCCCAGATGGACAGCGCGCGGGGCTGAATCCAGCCAATGGGAGGGGGGGGGAGGGCGCAGCCCCGCTGATCCCGGCGGACCAATTGGACGGAAGGGAGATCGGGGAGGCGGGACCTGCGTGTGACCAGCAGGTTAGGCTGCGAGCCGGTGGCTGGGGGATATGCGCATGCGCGAGTGTGCCCGGGAGAGGCGCCAAACACAAGAGGCGACGGTTGGCGGCGGACAGCGCGCGCTGAGGAGGAGGAGGAGGAGGAGGTGGGTGACTGACTGACTAACTGACTGATGGCGCTGGTGAGGGAGCGCGAGTTCGAGTCCCCCCACCCCAACCCTGATTAACCCCTTCAGAGGCAGCGACGATGTGGGTGGGGGGTAAAAGCTGTCAACAGGCGGCAAACGTGCCGAGAATATGGCTCCCAAGTGGGCACCGCATTCATCTCCTCTCAGCCGCGGCTGTCTGCTATTTGTATAATTGCTGTTGACTACTTATTAACAGTAATCCTCGCGGCCGATGTTGTTCGTTTACCTCAGGATCCAAAAAAAAAATCCAGGAGATTGATTCTCCCTTCAATCCTCTCTCAGGCACAGAGGCTCTGCTGTTTTAACATCTATAATAATTATAATAATAATAATAATCCTTGCATTTGACGCAGCGCTTCGCGGAATTCACGGTACAGTGTAGTGACTGTGTGTTTTGCGGGCGAACCGCGGCAGCCAATTGCGCACAGCACCGTCCCCACGGAGACGTCTCAAAGCGCTTCACAAAATATATTGTGAAGTACGTAGGTGTGTGTGTGTGTATATATAAAATCTACATTTCAGCTTAATTTAATTTGTATCTGATATTTAATTCACATTTAATTATTGTTCTTGCATGCGGCGACAACCCTGATTAACGTATTCCGTTCAGGTTTTAAACAGTCATTTTATTGTTGTACAGGTGGGTTTGTTTGGAAGATAATCAGTCATTAACGCCTGGGTAATAATTCAGCGGATTTGAGGCGGAACAAGAGATTCAGTAAATGAAGACGGATTTGTGGATTTTAACACGAAAATTCAATGTAAAATAATCTGTTTATAACTGATGTGCAGGAATAAGTAAATACAGTATTATACATTTTTAAAAGGGTAAATACTAATGAGCTTGTCACTTGATATAGTTTCAGCGGAGTGAGAGATTTCCTGTGCTCAAGGCAGTGTATTTATTCGCTTCTATTTATGGGGCGTCGAATATTTAGCAGGTTCATTTTTTGTTAACTCTTCGATTGTCCGTCTCTGAAATATTGACGGCTTCATAGGTTCTAAAATCAAGCAACGAAAGAATTGTCTCATACAGTGATTAACAAAAAAAACTACAAAGTAGCACTGCAGTGCTAAATGCCGAAACAATCAATGTAGTTCTATATACGATTGGGAGACGCCTCACGTGCTCCTTGGAGAATGCTCCGCAATCTTACAGCGAACTCAAGGTTGGGTTCAGCAAATGGATCGATCGGGCAGACCAATGGCCAATCAATGCCATGTAGTTGTGAAGTCCTGTAGCTCAGTGGTTAGAGCGCTCACTTTGCAAGTGAGAAACCTGAGTTCAATTCCAGGCAGAGGGCGAAACCTTGGGCAAGTTTCCTTACTCCACACAGAGCCTAATAATAATCCCTCCAAAACAAAACCAATAATAAATTGGTCATTTTCAAACTACGACTGTTTGTGGGACATTGCTGTGCGCAATTGGCTGCCGCGTTCGCCCGCAAATATACAGTCAATTCACTTTACAGTGTGTTCTGTGAAGCGCTTTGGGACGTCCTCCCGACGTGAAAAGCGCTATATCAAATGCAAGGATTATTATTATTATTTAAATGCTCCACATTTCACACTTCTGTGCTGTAAGTTTTAAGTTACCGATCTCGTCCAGTAATAGTGCACTGACTGAGGTTCCCAACCTACGTTGTTTGTTTGACCAGAACCACCAGTATAATTAGCTACAAGGTGGCTGATGAAACTTTGACGTGATGGAAATGTTTTCTAATGCCAACGTGCTGGTTTCTCAAGGGTTGGGGAAGTTTATGCCTCTGCTGTTTACAAACCAAAGTGATTGAGATGGTGTGTGTGTGTGCACATCGGCTTGTGAGTTTACGTTTAGTTCCAGGTATTTGTGGTCTTGAGGGTTATTTTGTGGGGAGGTTGTTGGCTTACTGATAGATCATCAACAGAGTTTGGTCTGTTGACCACTGTTGAGTTACTACAATCTCTTCAGGCTGCAGCTCGCATTCTAGAAATTTGCAGGGACCACAACATATTTTTCATTTTCTTTCTTTTCTTGCATCCCATACTCAGCATCTGAGGTTGAAAAACAAATAGGTTATTTGAATTGCCCCAATAATCTAGACCTGACTCAGGTGCAAATTAATTATGCAAATTAGTCATAACATTAATTAGAAAATATTTTTTAAATTTAAAAAATCAGCAATCACCTTGGCTGTTTTTTTTCTCTCCCCATAAAGCAAGAGCATTGAGTGTACAACTGTAGTACCAACTGCTGTCCAGACTGAAATCCATTTACTCAGGAGAGATGTGTATTTGAGCTGTGTTAGGTTTAGTGCTGCATTATGGTGGTGTCTTTACCCACTAGGCCATCAGGGGAGCCTTCCTGGGAGCTGTTACTCTTGTTGTATAAATAGAATATTGTTTTCCTTCTACTTATGAGACAGGGATGACTCCAAGTAACTTTCTGTCAGTGTGTGAAGTCTAAGGTCACAGTAAAATCAATGTGGACAGAGACACTGGACAAAAAGTTGGATGTATGTGCATTTGTCATAGCAAGACTAATAGGGAAAACTCTTCTCATAACATTTAGTCAATGTTTCCTATTAAATGTTGCATTGAACGTCTGGCAAGGTAAGTGAATTTTACCGAGCGTTTGTTCTGCAGGTTTTCATACCAAATAAAAACTGATAGACAGGGATTCTATAACTCTTTAAGTGGACGCTGTTCAATAGATTTGGTTTTGGTTTTGACCACCAGCATGAACTAATTGCATAGCTGAGCAGTCTAATGGAAATTGTTATGTGAAATAATGGATATTATTGTATTATTTAGAAATATTTTTGGAAGTAACTCACTGTGGTGCACACCAATGTCTATAGAAAGTACGCAGTGCTGTGACACAGACTTTGAAATAAGAAATTGTCAATTAGCATTAAAAATTTATTGGATCTAATTTATTTTTAAATTTGAATAAATTGAATTTTACATTACATAATAATAATCCTTGTATTTGCTGCAGCTAATAACTGACCAGCAAAGTCTTGGCCCTGTCACTCGAGCAAAATCTTTTCATCTGGGTTGGGCGAGGGTGAGAAAAATACTTGTACAATGTGTTAGCCTGCAGCTGTGTAGCGAATTCTGCAGATTATGTTTACACCCTTGTCACTGAAGGAACTTGCACCACAGGCAGTAGAACTGAAAGGAAATGTTATTACTTTGCAATAACTAACAGGGTGACCTAAAAGTTGTTTTTTGTAGGCAAACACGACCTCATTTCGCACATAGCAAGGTTGCAGAAACAG